AGTGCAAATAGCATCGATCAAAAGTTGACCCCAAGTAGACTCGACTCGACTCGATGACTCGAGTGCAGCTTGACACACTCGCAATTAGCCGCAATGAATATTTTTGGCCTGCGGCTTGTTTTTCCAGCCCTGTCCTGGCCCTGTCCTGGCCGGTCGTGCACTTTTGGCAATTTTCCTGATGGCTCAGTATCGCTATTAGATATGTATTAAAACTTTTGTTTCCAGTTTGACCCCTGCCCTCTGCACTTTGTGCAAATGATAGGCATGTTGTTCGTTGCAAGTTGGAAACTTTATTTTTGTGTCCAGCAACTTCATCCCAGGCAGCCATTTTTCCAACAATGTTTTTCCAGCAGGAGTATGTAGGTTTATGGGCCGGAAAAAATCGAAAAGTTGCTAATGAAGTTGAGGGCCCAAAGGTCGGCTAGTTGCGTCATCGGAGGAGATGGCTTGCAATTAATCACCATTGACATTGAGATGAATAAAAGAGTGTTGTAGGAATTTAAAACTCTGCTTGGCCTAATGAGCTGAAACGATCGCCAGTCAGGGCCAATTAGGTAGCTAATTAAAGGGTTTAAAGGTAGTATCGCACTTCACTGCCATTCGATAAATTGGTTTACCTCGCTCGCAGCCTGTTCCCAAATCAAATCAGCTTAATGGCAGAATCAGAAAAAAAGGGAAAAACAACTGCCTCTATATCAGCAACAAACTATCGGCAATTTGGCATGCAAATCACTTACTCTGGGCCCTTTCAGAGGGCCCTTTCCCACCTCTCTGGGACCCACTCCCTTTTTTCGACTTGAACGAGAATGGAAAAGAAATTTCCGCATTTATTGGCAGTCCTGTTGGCTGAGTAGGCGTGTTGTTGGCAGCTGCGGAGCGGGGTGCTGCTCTCCAGGACGAAGATTGCACTTCCCCACAGCTGCCGTTGACACTTTTATGGCACCTGAGAGAGGCCAGGAACGAATGCTTCCGGCCTGTCCTGACACCTCATTGATCGCATAATCGATTGCGATTACGATTGCGACTCTCGTATTACGTGTAATTACTCCGGACTACTCCGAGATAACTGGTAACAGGTTGGCTGGCCTACGAGGATGAAATAAATAAAATGTTGCGATTTATTTTTCTGAAAAAGCACGGTGGAAGGCTCAGCGAGGGCTGAGCGGAAGCGGAAACGGAAGCTCAACCGTCGCGCCTTCGTGGCCTTTGTTCTCATTGTTGTGACCTCTCCCGCTCCTCCTCTATAAGTAGTCCTAGTGACTTTTGTGTCGTCACTAATCGGCTCAGAAGCCCCCCAATAACCGGGCTAGGAACCTTGGCTTTAAAGCACTGCGGGCCTTGGTTGAGCATTGACGAACTTCGGAGCTGCTGTATAGGAATTCGTGCCACTATCTGGCGGGATAGTTGCCCCAAATATGCAAACTCTGAGGGAGTCCTTTGGGGGCGTGGCACACCTCGCAGATACTCCAGTCTCAAGCATGCTTCACTGACACCACAGCAAATGGAATAACACCGAATATAAAACGGAAACTCGATTACGGCGGGAAAGGGCTGGAAAAGTTGATCCTTCACCGCGCTGCCTTTTCGTCCTTGCTTCCATTTTGTCTTCTCGCTGTTTACAATTCGACAAAATGCTACAAGTTTTCCCCGCTTGAACCCCGGCTGTGGAAACTGTGTGGAAAGTGGAAAGTTCATAATCATGTAAGCGAAACATTATGCTGCAATTTATGTGCAAGGGCAATAAGTTAATACGCCGCACGCGCCGACATCCAGGTCCTGGCCTCTCACCCGGGAGTCCGGTCACGGACTACGCAGTTTTTTTTTGCAGCTTTTCCGCATCACACGGAGGCTGGGAGTGGGGAGTGGGGCTTAAGCTCCGCTAAAGAGCACGGACTACGTGTAATTCAATAGCGCCAGCAACGCACACGAAAAAATGTTTACTTTTACTCTATTGGATGCATTCCGGATTTATGCCGGACTTATGCCGGAGCATTCAATGGTAAACACTAAAGCCTATTGCCCAGGGCCGTGTTTGGATAAAAAAAACTTGTGAAAAGCGCCCTGTTTGCACTGCCTGATGCTGCTGAATGGGTTCTTCTTCGAACCGGGCTTGGGCCCATTATCCCCCTTAATTGGTGCAGATTAGGACGAGTCACACGGAGCTGCATCCTTTCACTACCAGCGGCATTGTTTTTGCTTCATTAGATGAAAATGCAAAGTAAACGAGATGTGTTTGCCGACTGCATTGTCAATGTTTTTCCAGGCATGCGTCCTCCCCGGCAGAGTCCCCTTCCTTCCGCCTCGAGACCCCTGGCAACTTGTAACTAATATTTGTGCAGTTTGATTGTCTCTGGTATTGTTTAAACTACGAGTAGTCCTGCTTCCGTTCCTTTTGGGGAGGGGAGGGGAGCTCTGTGCAACTGCAAGTTTCAGTTTTTAACGAATTTCTGTCTCTGAAGCTCCTCCTGAGTCCTTAATTCGGAATCATCAGGACTTGGCAGGGCTCATCAATCAGAAAGCCATAATCCGAATCAGAATGCGCCACTTGCAGCTCAAGGTGGGCCTGGGACCGGAAAATAATGTAAACAGGACAAAGTATGGCAAAATAGTATCATTTAGGCAGTGGACTTTGAGGTCCTGCCCGCTGCAGATTTAATTTCCGTCGAGTGGATGGGAAAGGACCTGCCGCAAAGTGGCTTTGTTAGATTCCAATTTCAATTTCTGGTTTTCTGGCTACTTTCGAGGGGCATCTGAGGGGGGGTCGCAATCCTTTGCGTTCGGCGTTTCGGGCGGGCCTCAAAGGTCATCAGATTCGCATATTTGCCACAGCTGTCCCGAACAGAATTCCAGAAGTGGCCTTTCGGCGGGCCACCGCTCGGGTGACCAAGTTTTCGGGCACAAAGCACCTGTCGATGCCAGACGAGAGGGGAGGGGGCTCTGCAACAAACCAAAACTAACAGCAACCGCAGTCTTGGCCCTGCCTGGCTGCCTGGCTGCCTGCATCCTGCACTGCACTCATGGCAACCTGGCCGAAAATTCCTCAATCGACTCGCCCACACGCACGCATATGTTGTATATTCCCCGGAAGGACTCCCCAGGACCCCACACAAAAAAGCAAGCTCCAACGCCCGGTGGCCGCAGGCTCAAATGCCATAAACATGCTACATACTAGTATTGTTGTGTCCGGCCATGTCTCGACCTCCTTCCCAACACCCCTCCCCCCCAGATCCTTCAAATATATGCAGCCGGACCCGGACCTTTGGCCAAAAGTGAATTTCACTTAACCGGGTTAAGCCCAGAAAGCTTTCATTACACAACTTGCTTTGGCTGGTTGCAATTTTTAAATTGAATTCAAGTCTCTGGGTTCCTGGAAATGCCAATTTCGGCAAAACTTGTTCAAAATTAAATGAAAATTTCGGAATCAAACCGAGCAAGTCTCGCCCAAGTTCCAAGGGGACTATTTTAGACTTAAATATGAGCTCTCCGCACCTCTCCCCCAGTCCCGAAAAGCATACATATCTATTTAATGAAACTTTTCGTCCTTCGGAGGCAGAATTCTGCTGAAAATCAGAAGCATCGGTAGCTGCCATTAAAACTATTTTAATCACCTTGACAAAATTGGAAATGACATGAGAAAGTTTGCTTAGCTCCCATTACCTTTTTTGAGCTCAAGGGCTTCCACGGATGACCCTCATCTTTCGCATAAATTTCATTTAATCCGCCGAGAGGCTGGAGGACTACTACTTCCGCCGCTAGTTTGGCTCTTAAAGCATCCGGGAATCGAGAGTGCAGTGCTGGAGCACATATCCCTCGCATGCTGGGTGCTGGGTGCTGGCTGAAAAGTTTGCAGCTATATGACATTTGTTATAAATTTAATTAAAACAAAATGCCGGAAATGAGTGAAGTGCGCTGAGGGGCGTCAGACAAAGGGAAACTTGTCTAACTGACACAGGCTTCTAAGTCCTTGGCCCGGGTCCTCGGTCCCCAGTCCTCGGTCCTTGGTCCTGCGTTCTTGGCAAAAACACAAATAGCCTCCACCCAGCACACACACTCGGAGGCAGGGTCTTCTTCGGCGGCTCCATCTAGGAATACAAACACTTGGCAGTCAGGCTCACCCACTCACATATCACAAAAGTTTTCAAAAACCCAAAAACGGAAGCCGGAAGGGGGCTAGCCGAAGTCCGCAATACCCTTGCCGGGGAGCAGCGACTACCTGTCCCCCGGATCGGGGCAACTCGGCCCGGAGAAGGGCATGTGTGAGCCGGCGACGGGCTGTCATTAAAAGGTTCGAAAAAAGTTTTCACTTTTCCGCCGAAATTCGAGCATTCAATGAGGGACAGGGCTCTGGAGAAGGTCTAAACTTTGCCAGAACCCAAAGAGGGGTGTTGAAAAAATAAAATAAAATAATTACGTTGAGATAATATGGGTCCTGTGCGTCCTGTCAGCCCCATCGCATCGTCCTCCACCCGCCAAGGACCACAGCCCCGCGAAAGTTTGCGTTTGCGGCGCTAATGTTGGATATTTGTTAATTTCGCTCCTAAGCGAGTGCAATTACATGCCCCACTGAGGTTCGCGGTCCTAAGTACCAAATCGTGTTGAGATCAGTGCGTATACTTAATATTATCCTCCGAGCTCCGAGTCGGAGCCATTCCGAGGAGCGGCCATTCGTCTAGTGCTCCCCACCGCAGTCGCCGCAGCCGGAAATAAATTCTCGAATTATTCTCATGATTATGTGGCCGCACGCCCCGCAGTTGGCCAACTATTCTGGCCAAAACTAAAAGCACACATCAAACTTTTGGCTTTCAATGGCTGCTTTTTATGATCGAAGCCGAATTAATTTAATCATTCAAATTGTTTCCCAAGTGTCGGAGTTGGAGTCCTGACCAGAGGGGCTCATGCGGCTGAGTTCCATTACTCCCAGTAGGAACTACCGGTGGTTTTAGGCCCCCTCCTGATATCAAGGCCTAGTCCTAGTCCGAGCCCTCCTCTATGCATCGATGTCGAATTACAAAACTGAATTATTTATTTAGAACCGGCGACACAACTGGTCCTTCAAACAAATAACCCAACAGGCTACAATAAAACTGTGCAAACAATTTTGTGGTCAACCATGTGGGTTTGGATTCCTCCGAGTAGAGTGTAGTGTGTGTTGTGGTTGTGGGAGTGTTTGCTCAGGTCGTTCCCCTTGAAGAGATTGGCATTCGGTGTCGATGAATCGGCCCACAATCTTCCAGCCACCTAATCATCCGGAAGCCTCCTCTTATCGCCCAAAGTCGAATCGTAATCACAATCACAATCGGAATCAGAATCAGAAGTACTCTCCCACTGCCCGGAGTGTTATCTGCTCCACCTGGGCGTGCGGGGGTGTGGCAAGGGCGTACATTACGGCCTGCGCCACATCGTCTGCCTGGAGGATGACCTCGCCCAGCTTGGCCTTGGTCTCGTCGGGCACTATTTCGGTGGCCACCCAGCCGGGATTGATGCTCTGAAAGGTGGAAGATGCTTCTTGTAACCCAATTCTTTGGAGGATCTTCAATATTCTCACCGTAGTCTTGATCTTCGAGCCCTTCTGGATCAGCTCCTGCCGGCAGATCTCGTGGACGGCCGTCAGTCCGAACTTGCTGGGCGTGTAGGCGTTGAGGCTCTCGTCCGCCGGATCCGGCTTGTAGCCGGCTACTCCGGCTGTGCTGTTCACGAAGAAGAGATGTCCGGCTACCTGCCGGCGGCGCATGCTGCTCGCCGCCAGCTTGGTGCAGTATATGCTGCCCATGAGATTCGTCTGCAGGGTGCTGGCGATGTCCTTCGTGGGCATGTCGATCAGCTGGCCGCCCAGGACTATGCCGGCGTTGTTCACCATCACGTCCACGCCGCCCAGCTCCCGCTCGATCCACTCGAAGGCGGCGTCCACCTGCGCCTCCTCGGATACGTCGCAGGCGTGCTGGTGGAACCTTTTCCGCTGTTCCTCCGGCAGGGACTCCCTGAGCTTTTGGAGGCGTTCGGTGCGCCTTGCCAGGCCCACTACTTGGAGCCCAGCGGCGACCAGAAGACGGGCGCAGGCGGCCCCGATCCCAGAGCTCGCCCCACTCACTACTGCCACACGGTTCTGCCACCGATCCATCGCTGCAAAGAGTCGTTGGTCAACTGAGGGCGCTCTCCGCCAGATTGGGTTATATGTGCGTCGGGTGGGGGCTTATCTCGACGCCGTCTCTCTTTTATCTGTCTCTCTTCGCGCACTGAAAAAAAACACGGGCCTGGTTAGCCTGAGAAACCAAAGAAAATAATCTGCATTTTCGAAAGGTGTTACTTACCACTTGAAAACTTCTTTCAGTGTAGAGATTGCTTGGGTGACGTGTCTCTGAGTTGGTCTTTGCTCCTTCCAAACAGGCCATCCGATCCGACGACAGATGTTTTTCTGTCTGATTGTTTGTTTGCCAACCTTATCGACCCTGAATGTGGTCTGATTACATTCGATCCAGACCCCTGTGGTAGCTTTTAATTAAATTAAATGGGTTAATTATGAGTGAATTATTTAATATTAGTTTTAAAGTATTTTGCTTCAACATCCGGGGTAAGAAGAAAGGGTGCCATCAGAAAAATTAGAAAAATATGGATCAAAAATTGGATGCTAGGATTTTGATGCAGAATTATGGAGAATGGAACTACGAGTCTTTTGAGGTATCCCTTTTGAGAATCGGATGAAAATTGGCCAAGATATAAACATTGTAGTGAGCCCTATGGGGGATCCAGGATTTTACAAGGGGTCCGATCAGAAAAATTTGAAAAATATGGATCAAAAATTGGATGCTAGGATTTTGATGCAGAATTATGGAGAATGGAACTACGAGTCTTCTAAAGTATCCCTTTTGAGAATCGGATGAAAATTGGCCCAGATATGGACATTGTAGTGAGCCCTATGGGGTATCCTGGATTTTACAAGGGGTCCCATCAGAAAAATTTGAAAAATATGGATCAAAAATTGGATGCTAGGATTTTGATGCAGAATTATGGAGAATGGAACTACGAGTCTTTTGAGGTATTCCTCTTGAGAATCGGATGAAAATTGGCCAAGATATAAACATTGTAGTGAGCCCTATGGGGGATCCAGGATTTTACAAGGGGTCCCATCAGAAAAATTTGAAAAATATGGATCAAAATTTGGATGCTAGGATTTTGATGCAGAATTATGGAGAATGGACGACGAGTCTGTTAAGGTATCCCTTTTGAGAATCGGATGAAAATTGGCCAAGATATAAACATTGTAGTGAGCCCTATGGGAGATCCAGGATTTTACAAGGGGTCCCATCAGAAAAATTTGAAAAATATGGATGAAAAATTGGATGCTAGGATTTTGATGCAGATTTGTGCAGAATGGAACTACGAGTCTGTTAAGGTATCCCTTTTGAGAATCGGATGAAAATTGGCCAAGATATAAACATTGTAGTGAGCCCTATGGGGGATCCAGGATTTTACAAGGGGTCCCATCAGAAAAATTTGAAAAATATGGATCAAAAATTGGATGCTAGGATTTTGACGCAGAATTATGTAGAATGGAACTACGAGTCTTTTGAGGTATTCCTCATTGGAATCGGATGAAAATTGACCAAGATATGAACATTGTAGTGAGCCCTTTGGGGGATCCAGGATTTTACAAGGGGTCCCATCAGAAAAATTTGAAAAATATGGATCAAAAATTGGATGCTAGGATTTTGATGCAGAATTATGGAGAATGGAACTACGAGTCTTTTAAGGTATTCCTCTTTGGAATCGGATGAAAATTGACCAAGATATGAACATTGTAGTGAGCCCTTTGGGGGATCCTGGATTTTACAAGGGGTCCCATCAGAAAAATTTGAAAAATATGGATCAAAAATTGGATGCTAGGATTTTGATGCAGAATTATGGAGAATGGAACTACGAGTCTGTTAAGGTATCCCTTTTGAGAATCGGATGAAAATTGGCCAAGATATAAACATTGTAGTGAGCCCTATGGGGGATCCAGGATTTTACAAGGGGTCCCATCAGAAAAATTTGAAAAATATGGATCAAAATTTGGATGCTAGGATTTTGATGCAGAATTATGGAGAATGGACGACGAGTCTGTTAAGGTATCCCTTTTGAGAATCGGATGAAAATTGGCCAAGATATAAACATTGTAGTGAGCCCTATGGGGGATCCAGGATTTTACAAGGGGTCCCATCAGAAAAATTTGAAAAATATGGATGAAAAATTGGATGCTAGGATTTTGATGCAGATTTGTGCAGAATGGAACTACGAGTCTGTTAAGGTATCCCTTTTGAGAATCGGATGAAAATTGGCCAAGATATAAACATTGTAGTGAGCCCTATGGGGGATCCAGGATTTTACAAGGGGTCCCATCAGAAAAATTTGAAAAATATGGATCAAAAATTGGATGCTAGGATTTTGATGCAGAATTATGGAGAATGAAACTACGAGTCTTTTAAGGTATCCCTTTTGAGAATCGGATAAAAATTGGCCAAGATATAAACATAATAGTGAGGCCCTATGGGGGATCCAGGATTTTACAAGGGGTCCCATCAGAAAAATTTGAAAAATATGGATGAAAAATTGGATGCTAGGATTTTGATGCAGAATTATGGAGAATGGAACTACGAGTCTGTTAAGGTATCCCTTTTGAGAATCGGATGAAAATTGGCCAAGATATAAACATAATAGTGAGGCCCTATGGGGGATCCAGGATTTTACAAGGGGTCCCATCAGAAAAATTTGAAAAATATGGATCAAAAATTGGATGCTAGGATTTTGACGCAGAATTATGTAGAATGGAACTACGAGTCTTTTGAGGTATTCCTCTTTGGAATCGGATGAAAATTGACCAAGATATGAACATTGTAGTGAGCCCTTTGGGGGATCCAGGATTTTACAAGGGGTCCCATCAGAAAAATTTGAAAAATATGGATCAAAAATTGGATGCTAGGATTTTGATGCAGAATTATGGAGAATGGAAGTACGAGTCTTTTAAGGTATTCCTCTTTGGAATCGGATGAAAATTGACCTAGATATGGACATTGTAGTGAGCCCTATGGGGGATCCTGGATTTTACAAGGGGTCCCATCAAAAAAATTTAAAAAATATTGATCAAAAATTGGATGCTAGGATTTTGATGCAGAATTATGGAGAATGGAACAACGGGTCTTCTAAGGTATCCCTTTTGAGAATCGGATGAAAATTGGCCAAGATACGGACATTGTAGTGAGCCCCATGGGGGATCCTGGATTTTACAAGGGGTCCCATCAGAAAAATTTGAAAAATATGGATCAAAAATTGGGTGCTAGGATTTTGATGCAGATTTGTGGAGAATGGAACTACGAGTCTTTTAAGGTATTCCTCTTGAGAATCCGATGAAAATTGGCCAAGATATGAACATTGTAGTGAGCCCTATGGGGGATCCAGGATTTTACAAGGGGTCCCATCAGAAAAATTTGAAAAATATGGATGAAAAATTGGATGCTAGGATTTTGATGCAGATTTGTGCAGAATGGAACTACGAGTCTGTTAAGGTATCCCTTTTGAGAATCGGATGAAAATTGGCCAAGATATAAACATTGTAGTGAGCCCTATGGGGGATCCAGGATTTTACAAGGGGTCCCATCAGAAAAATTTGAAAAATATGGATCAAAAATTGGATGCTAGGATTTTGATGCAGAATTATGGAGAATGAAACTACGAGTCTTTTAAGGTATCCCTTTTGAGAATCGGATAAAAATTGGCCAAGATATAAACATAATAGTGAGGCCCTATGGGGGATCCAGGATTTTACAAGGGGTCCCATCAGAAAAATTTGAAAAATATGGATGAAAAATTGGATGCTAGGATTTTGATGCAGAATTATGGAGAATGGAACTACGAGTCTGTTAAGGTATCCCTTTTGAGAATCGGATGAAAATTGGCCAAGATATAAACATAATAGTGAGGCCCTATGGGGGATCCAGGATTTTACAAGGGGTCCCATCAGAAAAATTTGAAAAATATGGATCAAAAATTGGATGCTAGGATTTTGACGCAGAATTATGTAGAATGGAACTACGAGTCTTTTGAGGTATTCCTCTTTGGAATCGGATGAAAATTGACCAAGATATGAACATTGTAGTGAGCCCTTTGGGGGATCCAGGATTTTACAAGGGGTCCCATCAGAAAAATTTGAAAAATATGGATCAAAAATTGGATGCTAGGATTTTGATGCAGAATTATGGAGAATGGAAGTACGAGTCTTTTAAGGTATTCCTCTTTGGAATCGGATGAAAATTGACCTAGATATGGACATTGTAGTGAGCCCTATGGGGGATCCTGGATTTTACAAGGGGTCCCATCAAAAAAATTTAAAAAATATTGATCAAAAATTGGATGCTAGGATTTTGATGCAGAATTATGGAGAATGGAACAACGGGTCTTCTAAGGTATCCCTTTTGAGAATCGGATGAAAATTGGCCAAGATACGGACATTGTAGTGAGCCCCATGGGGGATCCTGGATTTTACAAGGGGTCCCATCAGAAAAATTTGAAAAATATGGATCAAAAATTGGGTGCTAGGATTTTGATGCAGATTTGTGGAGAATGGAACTACGAGTCTTTTAAGGTATTCCTCTTGAGAATCCGATGAAAATTGGCCAAGATATGAACATTGTAGTGAGCCCCATGGGGGATCCAGGATTTTACAAGGGGTCCCATCAGAAAAATTTGAAAAATATGGATCAAAAATTGGATGCTAGGATTTTGATGCAGATTTGTGCAGAATGGAACTACGAGTCTTTTAAGGTATTCCTCTTGAGAATCGGATAAAAATTGGCCAAGATATGAGCATTGTAGTGAGCCCTATGGGGGATCCAGGATTTTACAAGGGGTCCCATCAGAAAAATTTGAAAAATATGGATCAAAAATTGGATGCTAGGATTTTGATGCAGAATTATGTAGAATGGAACTACGAGTCTTTTAAGGTATCCCTTTTGAGAATCGGATGAAAATTGGCCGAGATATGAACATTGTAGTGAGCCCTTTGGGGGATCCTGGATTTTACAAGGGGTCCCATCAGAAAAATTTGAAAAATATGGATCAAAAATTGGATGCTAGGATTTTGATGCAAAATTATGGAGAATGGAACTACGAGTCTTTTAAGGTA